GGAGTGATTTTTATCAGCTGCAATCAATCTGCTTTGTGTGAAACACACAAACAGAGCTTTTCAGGCTAAATAGGATTTCAGTTGATCTGGTATCTCAAATACTGACATCTACCTGCTTCTTCCAGAGGGTGTTAAGAACATCTCCAACCAGCTCACCATTGGCAGCGAGATCTCCACAGAGCACCCGGACCTGCGGAGCGTGGCCAAAGCTCAGGGCTGGTGGGACGGTGAGGGAGAATTTAACTTCTCGCATGTGTTTAGTCCCGAGAACCCGCCGGCCAGGATGGAGCTGGCCAAGCAGCGCTACAGGGGAGGCACGGAGCTGCTCCAGCAACATGATGGTAGGTACAGAGCTCGGCGGAGCTTAGAGCTGCCGAACACGACGATAACTTCTCTATGGAGACACTCAGCTCTCTGTCTGTCCTGCTTTCAGGATCAGTGACGGCAGAGGTGATGATGTCCATTCTGAGGGACAAACCCAGCGGCATCTGCATGAACTCTGGAGGTTTCTGCACCACAGGCAGCATGGTTTCCATCCTGCCCAGAGACACCGCTCTGCCCTGCATCCACTTCTTCACTGCCACCCCAGACCCATCCAGGTTTGCCACTCACTAAACTAAAAATTCCTCCACTTAATGCTACATGAATAACCCGTTTTATCCACTATATGTTCATGGAACGATTATAATATCGTGAGATTAAAGGTCTGGAATTCCTCATAATTGTTTATACAGCTCTAGTATTAAGTAAGTTTTAAAAAATTAAGTGTAACAACCAGTTAATGTTTAAAAAGCATAAAATATGAATATGTGCTGACCATTAAAAAAGACATCTAAATTCCCCAAACGTCCCTCAAAATGGTCACTTTGTGCACCTGTGGATTAATTCCGGAAGCCTCTGTGGAAGTCTGATTCTGACCATCTGTGATCTCAAACTTCCAGAGAGCAAACATCAAGTTTACTTAAACTGAGGAGTTTTTACGTAGATTTTATGCCGAGGTCTCGCGAGCATTTCGCTCAACTTTTGGTTGGCCTGCTCCACGAAGCACGCCATAATAATATTAATTAAATGAAGACGGTCCCTGAGAGTTACCACAGTGGACGAATCTTCATGTTTGATTTGGTGCAGGTTTTATACAAGATGCCCTTCCTCACGCAACCCTCACGCTTACCCAGACTTACAACCCTCGGAGGCTGGGTTTATGTTTTCTCCTGGTCTTAAAGTAGGCCACTAATAATATTAAGTTCATTAAAGTGCACTTTTTGGATGCTGTATATTTGGAAATTTTTACTAGAGGTGCAACGATACTCGTATCGATATTGAACCGTTCATACAGTGCTTTCGGTACGCATATGTATCGAACAATACAACATTTTTAATTTATTTTATCAACTTTCCTTCTGACGATGCTGTCTGTGTTGAGCGCTCAGTGGATCTGCGCTC